CCAGAGTTATCTCTGTAGTTATGCTGCTATAGGCTTAGACTGCTGGAGGACATACTGATCACTTTCCACACCCGACTACTTTCTTCTACAATCTGCTCTTTAACTGTATTATTTCCTGCTATTTTAGCTGTTAACTTTATTTTTTCTCTAAGTGTTTTTCTCCCCAGAAGAAGCTACAATGATGTTTTGCTGAGCTGTGCTGGCCTCATGGAGGGGGCCATCGGCTTGAACACTGTTGCTAACCACTTAAACATTCTCCCTCTCCTGATAATAACACTTTACTTTCTTTGACATTGAATGTGTTTACCCGTTTAATTATAGATTCACTAGGATAAATACAGCAAAGTTTATCTGTCACCAAATAGAATATTTACTGAGAAATCACAATGTAACCATAGAAACATTACTTGGTATATATGTTGTGTGTGTGTGTGTGTGTGTGTGTGTGTGCGTGTGCGTGTGCGTGTGCGTGTGCGCGTGCGTGCGTGCGTGCGTGTGTGTGCTCTGTCTTCTCGATCCTCAGTGAGTCGTGGAGGATGGCTGCTTATACTGATCTAGGATCCTCTGGAGGTTTCTTCCTGTTAAAAGGGAGGTTTCCTCTCCTCTGTCGGTAAATGCTTGCTTAGTATGAGGATTGCTGTAAAGACTCTGACACTAGTCAGTTACTTGATGCAATTTGCTGGGTCCCTTATATAGGAAACTTTTTTTTCTGATTGGCTTAATGAACTGGCCTGTATTGGAATGTTTACTATGTGAAGTGCCTTGAGACGACTCGATGTGATTTGGCGCTATATAAATAAAATTGAATTTAATTGAATTTAATTGAACTGAATTGAATTGCATTGCATTGCATAGACTCTGGTAGTTTGACCTAAAGTTGAAGTGGTAGCAGCTGGCTGTTTCTCCTTCTCTGATATTATTGAGCAGAAAAGCTCTCACACCAGTGGTGTTCTGCTGCTAAATACATGTGTGGAGGACCCAGGGAAGTGCAACGGTTCAGCAAGACCAACAAGATGGTCCGATAGTTGCTTTTGATCCAAAATGTGTTCATAGAGGTTTTTAGACAAATGCGAGAGAACCACATTATTATTATTGTTTCTAATCTCCACAACATATTTATAGCTACTTTATGTTAAAACGTAGTTGAGAGGCATGAAAAAATGTTTAGTGCTAATTTGTTGCAAAATTTGCTTAAAGAGCTTTAAGTGTATATATTATAACTCTTTGAACCCAGAAGAAGGTTGAATCCGGAAAACTTCAACATATTATTCTATTGTAAATTAAAATGATCTTTGTTGAAACCTCAAATATCCCAGCACACCTGGCAGCAGGACGAGTGTGTTCATTTTGGAGGGAGGCTCCTATTTAAACATTTTTTCTTCAAAAGTCAGACACCTTCAGTGGGGAGTTCTGTTGAATGAAAGTGTTTTCTTTTAAAAGCAAACAGTGGATAGCTTTTGATTTTGTAAACACTGCCTTGTGTGTCCCAGCGGAGACCAGCAGGGAGCTGATTTATTGTTTTTGTATGGCAAAAAATCAGATTTAATGTTTTCTTCTGTTCATAAATGTGTCTTTTCTCGACAATAATTGAATTTGGTTTGTTAAAATGACTCACCTGAGGCTTTATTCCTAAAACCTCAGACACAAGATAAAAAAAACCATGCAACAATAATAAAGGAATAGCCCTAATTTATTATTTGACCTTCCTACTGGGGCAGGGTAGAGTCACCAAAGTCCTTTGGCTCATTTAGCTCCAATTAGACACTGTTTTAAAATGAGGAGGAAAATCTCTCAGAACTTCTGTCATTTTAGATTAGGAGCCCAATTAGTTGGTGAAATCTCATATTGCACGACTGTGACCTTTCTCGCTGGTTTCAGGCTGTTTTCAGTGATTCGTGTCCATGTTGGCAGCTGAAGCTTTTGTGGCTTGCTGACTGAGGGCAACAAGCACCATCAGGATTAAGTTTTGAGGTGAAGAATAGCGACTGGTGTTCTGTGTGTGCAGAGGTCAAAGACAAGGGGCTGCTTTCAGGTTGTCAAGTTGTTTTCTTTTAACTCTTTTGTCAACACACTCTCTTATGAGACGAGCCAGAGGGCAGCTCAAGACCCTCTGTTATTTATTGTGTGGATTAAATCAGCAGTCATAAGATACAAACACTCTCATATGTTCCAATAGGAACACAAGCGTGCAGCAACTCAGTGTTTCCGTACAATCTATTTAGGCTTCCTTCCTAAGGTGTGTTTTCAAAATAAAAGCTCAAAAATGTCCACATATTTATTTATTTGCATATTTAACGAGTAAATTTACATAAATCACACAGAAATAAGTTTTTTAATCTTTATATGACACTTTCTCAAACAACACATTGTGATGTATATATTTTTGGGTAAACTTACAAACTGAAAATATTGCAAATAAGGAGGAAAATGTTAAAAATGTTCCTGAATATTAAATAGTTTAATTGGGTACAATATTAGAAAATACAAATTTCTATTTTATTTAAAGAATTGGCCAAAGTAATGAATAGATAATGATTCATTATTAAAGAGGAAGATTAAAACATGGACCAATATGCTTGAATGTATGAAAATAACATTTGAAAGCTTTAGTAGATAAAGAATTGTTCCTATGTGTGATAAATGTGTAAATGTTGTATGTGAGACACAAGAATACATGGTAGAAAATGTTAACTCATGTCACAGATTTAGGTGTTTAACGTTGTCCATTGTTTATTTTATCAACTTTTCACCAGTTTGTTACCCTGTAACCTCCCCTCCCTGCATCTATAGTCCCCCGTTTTTACTTAGATTCTGTTTACCTCTCCGTAATTTGTAGTTGTTTGTAAGTTTTGTTGGTTAGCACCATCAGAATTATTTCTTTTCTTTATAAACTTATAAACTCATTTCTCTGTAGCCCACATCTGGAGATGTCTTCAGATTATTGTTGCACCCATCTGAATGCAGTCCTCCTCAAGTACAGAAGGTTTTGTTGGGGTTAAAGGTCAGGAGGTCAGCAACTTCCCTCAGTGGCAGAAAGAGAGAGAGTGGGGGAGGTGAGAAAACCCTGAAAAACAAAGCCATGTTGTTTTTGGTAACCTTCAAGTTGACAGAGATTAGGAATCGCTGCCAGTCTGCCTGTCTCATTGGATCCATCATATAAAAGTGTTTCCCAGCATCCATTTAGTGAAGTCAATGTGTCAGGTCCTACATGAATGTTTTAAAATGAGAAGAGCTAACAGTGACTTGTCTTCTCACGTGTTCCACTTCCTGTAGCCCCTCAGAGCTGCAGAAATAAAGTGGCTTTAATGGTTACTGTGCATTTAAACTTTGGGCCACATGCTTTTGTAGACAGATGCAGATTTATCTTTGTGTGAATTTTAGACTGCTGTCGGTCAAACAATAGTGTCACTTCTATATAGGTAAAAAGTTAATTATGTATGTTATAATGGAAAAAAATGAAACAAAAATCCAACTATATGAAGAAACCTTTTGATGTAGTGTACAAGAAACCTCCTCGTTTACAAAACACACCCCACGTTAGGTTCTAAAGCCATTGTGGATTTATTTGTTTATCCTGCTGTTTTCCTGTCCGTATAAATAATATCTGATTGAAAACGTATTAAATGGAAGAGCTATTCAACACAGATGCTCTGAAAGTGCTCAAAAAATGTTTAAAACAATATTTCATAAAAATCCTGCATACAAACAAAAAGGTGAACATCAAGTCAGAGGAATGGCCAACAGCTGATAAACTTCACAAGACAAAGTACCAGTGCCAGCATTAGAAGTTAGTTTCCACCTGTTTCTGAGCGTTATTTGACAATAATGGGCCACATCTAGGATTTTTTTTTCCAAAGTGGAGCCATCAGCATTGTATCTAAAGAAAAAACGTTGGCATTCAGCTTCACAAAGGGCCTTCAGTGTGTGAGCCCTGCCTAATCAGTTTGAGGAGGAACGGGGTTTACTTTAGAGAGTAAATATGCCAAACCCTGGAGCCGCTGTTGTTGTTTCCCATGTGTGACCTCGTCTCCCCATCTAACGAGAGTCATGTGGCCGTGACACTGACTGATCAGCTGTACACACACACACACACACACACACACACACACACACACACACACACACACACACACACACACACACACACACACACACACACACACACACACACACACACACACACACACACACACACGCACACACACACACACACACACAGAACAGCTAAGAACTCTACTTTGGGTTGGGTTTAGAAGTCGTTGTTTTTATTTATTTATTTATTTCTCCCTGTTGTGTTTTGTAAATGTTTCCACCAGAGCTGTGCTGAGTAGAAACCTGTGTTGAACCCTGACTCACCCTTGAGTTATCCCTTCATTTTTATGAGACACTTTTATGTTTTTCTCTTCATCCCACCGTATCTTTATATGTTTAACAACATCTTGATCCTGTGTTTTGCATTTAGTCTACCCGTAGCATCCTGAGACCCGTGTGGATGTTTTTGCCATCACTGGCATTTGTAGGGTCGTTGCCCTGCATGCAGCTAGGCAAGCATTAAGTCAGACCGCAGATTTAGATTTAATCCTGAGGTTCTATTAAAGCAATAAAGCAATGACGCCAGTGTGCAGGAGTAAAGATAGGGGGTTATTTTAGGGAACGTGAGATAGAATAATATTTAGACAGCTTTACTGGTTCAAAGTGAAGTCCTTAAAGCTCCTGAGCACTGGGATCAACAATAAAGTCCCAGCCAGGTGCCACTAGTATGTCCTGGTCAGAAGAACGAGTCTGAATTGAAACATCAGCTTGGAGTGAGTCTCTGAAACTCAGCTCAAATCTGCTTCTCCTTCACAACTCAGACAAAACCGTATTTTTGTTTTCATTGGAATGTTATTGCTCTAAAAATGGATGCCTGTGACATGACAATGTAGCAGGCAAGAAGACTAGTTAATTACGTGTGTGTGTGTGTGTGTGTGTGTGTGTGTGTGTGTGTGTGTGTTTTTCAGGGGGCTCTTCATCACTATTCATGATCAGGGTCACATTGCTTCAATCCTCCAAAACTGGCCCGAAAAGGACATCAAGGTAAATTTCTAGGTTTATTTAATCATGGCCTCTTTTATACAGAATGGGTCGGTCAGATTAAATTAGCATTTTTGGGAATGTAATGAATAATCATTTTACCTGTTGTTGACAGCTCAGCATCTTCCGTTGGGAGCAGCAGAGATCGTTTTTAGAACCAACTCTAGTCTTAAACATTTCACCGTGGTTCAGCATGAATATGCTGTTTTACAAACAACCTGTGGTTGGTCTGGTGGATGTCTTGATGTTCAGGTCAGAAGTTGCCCAGGCTGCGCCCGAAGCCTAGTGCTGCAGCAGATATCTGCATTTTTAAACTACCATAAAATTCTTCCTAAATAACTACATGTATTTATAATCACTGAATATGTTTGCATAAACTGTTTAGAATTGCTCTGAGATTGATAAACAAATGTTAGACATGATGAAGAAGCCCCCTTCCTGTGGAACCAGCTAAACGCCTGTGCATGTCCTCTGACCCTTCAGGGGCCGCAAACACAACCGAGCATCATTAACAAGTCTCACCAGCAGCTCTTTCCTATGAGAAACTTTGTTTTAAAAATGCACATTAATGTGTAAGCCATACCGGAGCAATATTCAGAATGACGCCACCAGCAGGCATTCCTGGCATGTGGGATTTGGTCTCAGCCACCTGTTCACAGCTGTCAACAGCAAGGCATTTACTGCACCTCAGCACTGATATGCTGCTGCTCTTATCAAAACCTCACCCCGTACGCCTGACTTTCAGCTTCTCAGAAGAGAAAGGTCAAACGGCAGCCAACACAGTCGTCCACTGATGAGCCTTGGCAGCATCTGTAACACATTAAGCAGCAGCAGGTTTCAAAAAATCAAGTCAAGTGGGAAAACTAATTAAAATGCTCTAAACTTGTCAGATTTTGGAGAGAACAAGACCGTAAAAAATCTGTCCAAAATATCGGTGTCACACCAAAGGTGAAAAAAATAAAACTATCCACTTTTAGGAACTTTTTGGTTCCACTCTGTTGCTGCTAATATTACGTGTTACACAGCAGATTAGTTTCATAATTTAAAATCAACTCAGTGGAGGAAAATGATTTCATAAAGAAGGTGACTAGTGAGTGGAAACCTGGGAGGCTGCTGGAGTACCTGGCTCCTACTCTAGAAAAACTACACAGTCACTGGGAGCAGGATACTCTTAAGGAACGTTTGAGTTGAGGCTGTGTAGGAATACTGCTTCAGATGTAAAAAATACTAACATATTTGTGAATGGAAACCTTTGTTGTGGCACTCCAGGCAGTGTGTGTGACGGATGGAGAAAGGATCCTGGGACTGGGAGATCTGGGTTGCCATGGCATGGGCATCCCCGTTGGGAAGCTGGCTCTGTATACAGCCTGTGGGGGCATGCCACCACAGCAGTGCCTGCCTGTCATGCTGGACGTTGGCACAGACAATGAGGTGAGAGCTGGGATCTAAATATAGAAGACTATTTATTTTATTTGTGGGATTTACATCACGGCCATCAGAGAGTAAAGGAACAGCTTATTCCTCTGCAGTGATTCATGGTAGCTGCTCCAGACCAGTGTTGATTGACACTGAATCTCCTGCTTGTCATGTATTCTTCTGGACTGATTATAAGTGACATATTTACCATGAATCGTGATGAGGAGGAACATGTGTTCCCTTGGAGTGAGTCAGATGTGTAAAATCACAATATTCCATTCAGTAATGTGGGGCATCTCTTCATAATTCTGTCATTGTAAGACTAAATGCTGAATTTCATTACTAAAGAAAATGCATTATGCCAACTAACTAACTAACCTTTTCAATAATGTTTTTAGCTGCTTAAAAGCTGATGTACTGAGAATTAACTGTTCCTTAATGTCAGGTATTTTTCCTCAATCATTGAAAACTGCTGTTGTTAAGCTTCTTCTAAAGAAAAGGAAATTAGATCCCTTGGTGATGAATAACTACAGACCAATCTCTAATCTCCCTTTCATTGGGAAAATTATTGAAAAAGCTGTTATGATCCAGCTGAACAGCTTTTTAGAGATGAACAACCTGTTGGACAGTTTCCAGTCAGGCTTTAGACAACATCACAGCACTAAAACCACACTTATTAAAGTATTAAATGATAATCATCTAAATACAGATTCAGGCAAAACATCTGTCCTGATGATGCTCAATCTCGCTGTAGCTTTTGATATTATGGACCATAAAATCCTTCTTGGTAGGCTCGTAAACTGGGTGAGACTTGCAGGCACAGTCTGTATTGGTTCTAACCTTATCTTAAAGATGGGGTTATGTTGTCTCTATTGGTGATCACAAATCAAAGCTGATCACCATGACATGTGGGGCTCAATTCTTGGATCACTACTCTTCAGTCTCTACATTCTCCCCCAGGGTCAGGTCATGAGCAATAACAACATTACCTATCATAGTTATGCAGATGACACCATGATCTACCCTATCTCTACCTAGCTCTATCACCTAATGACTGTGGTCCCTTAGACTCACTCTATCAATGTTTGGAACAACAAGATTGACTGGATGCAATCAAACTTCCTCTATTTAAACAAAGACAAGTCTGAAGTTATTGACTTAATAAGGAGGACAGGATGGAGGTTATTGCTCAACTTGGCTCCAGAGAAATAAAGACAAACACTCAGGTCAGAAATCTTGGTGTCATAGCTGATTCAGATCTGAGCTTCACTGGTCACATTAAGGCTATAACTAGATCAGCGTTTTATCATCTTCATCAAATAGCACGACTCAGAGGTGTCATTTCCAGACAGGACCTAGAGAAACTCATTCATGAGTTCATCTACAGCAGGCTGGCCTATTGCAATGGTCTTTTGACTGGTTTCCCCAAAAAAGCTGTGAAGCAACTGCAGCTTATTCAGAATGCTGCTGCTAGAGCCCAAGAGAATCCTGTTCTTAAATCACTTCACTGGTCACCAGTAAACTACAGAATCTATTTCAAAGTACTTCTACTAGTTTATTAATCACTCAATGGCAAGGGGCCAAAATGCATGTCGGACCTCCTTCCTGTATAAACGCCCAGCAGGGGTCTGTGATCCTTAGAAAGCAGTCAGCTGGTAGAACCCCTGGCCAGAACCAAACAGGGTGAAGCTGCTTTTAGCTTCTATGCTGCACACAGACGAAATCAGCTTCCTGATGACCTCAAATGTGACTAACAGTGTGAATGTTGACTATACAAATAAAATGGCATCATAGTTACTAATTAATCTCCAGAAACATGGTGATTTTTATTTGGGAGAATTTTTTAAGCAGATATAATTATTTCATTTTATTTCAGTCTTTTTCTACCCAAGTAATGCAGACAAAGGCCATCTGAAGGATGGTTTAGTTCTCACTTTAATGGATTTTTTTATTGAAATCCGTAAATATCTCCTTTTTTCCTCCTTAGCAAGAATAAAAAACTGAAGTTAAGAAATAATTCACATCTAGGTTTAACTGGAAAGGTCAGTGAAGAGCAGCAAGCACATTTCCCTCTTTACAACCAGGAAACACCCTTGTATTAGTGAGGTAAACTTCTCCACTGATTGATGCCAGCTGGGAAAGCACCTCTTCCCTCTGCCCGGCATCTGTTCTCTGTGGCACCCTCTCTGGATGGTGGTCCAGGGCGTGTGTTTTCAGCCCTTGCCAGTCTAAGAATAGAATATTTCAGATGCACAGAGCTCCAAGGCTGACGGTGCAGCAGACGCATATGCCTGTCTGTCTAAAACAGCTTAGCTCTGAATCCTCACCCGCTGCCCTTCATTTTCCAGTATGGCTTTAGGATGACTCAGCCTCATTCCAAGCAGATGTCTCAGTGGAGTAAGTGTGAGAGACAATACTGTGGTTGGATAGCTGCACAAACTAAGATTAATAAGCCATAACAAGTAATGGTAAATACTGGAGACTGGACATACAGGGAGTGCAGAGTTATAAGGCAAGTTGTATTTTTGAGGAATAATTTTATTATTGAACAACAACCATGTTCTCAATGAACCCCAAAACTCATTAATATAAAAGCTGAATGTTTTTGGAAGTAGTTTTTAGTTTGTTTTTAGTTTTAGCTATTTCAGGGGGATATCTGTGTGTGCAGGTGACTATTACTGTGCATAATTATTAGGCAACTTAGCAAAAAACAAATATACCGTATACCCATTTCAATTATTTATTTTTACCAGTGAAACCAATAGAACATCTCCACATTCCCAAATATACATTTCTGACATTCAAAAACAAATCAGCGACCAATATGGCCACCTTTCTTTGCAAGGACACTCAAAAGCTTTGTCATCTGCAAAAATCAAAGATGAAACCTCAAGTTTCCAACCCAGACCTCCTCTTCTCCATGACTACGGCCTGAGATCCTGTCCACAACCACCCAAAACAGTGACAGTGGAATCTACCCCGCACCAGGACCAAGCACGACTTTGTATTGAGAATGCAGACACAGCTCTTCATTTGGTTGTGCAGGGACCAGATAGCCCTCATAAATGACCCCGGCACCTCGTACTCCCACAATACTCTCCACAAAATGCCTCAAGGCCTTGTCCAAGTCCACAAAATACATGTGAACTGAAAAACAAAACTTCTCATGACCCCATCAACTCCACAAGGCTAAAGATCCGGTCTACTCTTCCACAAGTTTGATGAAAGCTCCGCTGCTCCTTCTGAAATGTAGGCGTCACTGTCAATAGAAGGCTCCTTTCTAACACTCTGGAAAACACATTCCCAATAAGCGTAGGCATGACAGATTGTGATATTTACATTAGTGTACATGGTGGTGCAAGCAGCGTCACAGTATTTACACCAGTAACTCAAGGAGATGCCCTGATATAAATGGCATGATGTTCACGGGCAAGGTCAAAGAGCATGTGAGGAAGACAGCAAGCTGCCTGTTAAGATGCTTTCTGAGTTTGAGACTCATCTTTCTTTGTTTTACTTCTTCAGGGTCTAGTGACTTCCTGGTCCTTGAGCACCCCTAAACAGCATGTTTTAAAGGTTTTTCTGTTTCAGCATATCTGATTTAATTAGTAGGTGATTAACACACTTCTGCAGGACTTCATAACATGATGAACAGATAATCCAACCATTTAATCAGGTGTGATGAAAGTGAAAAACGCTGGATAGTTGCCCTTGAGGACCAGTATTAGACACCTTGGGTCTAGTAAATTAAAACTTTGTTGGACCTGCAGCTCCATTGAAAACAACAACAGGGTTGCAGATAAAATCAGGCTAAGTTGAAATAAGCAACATCGACTGCGAGGAAACCACATGTTAGAATGAGCTAAATACTTTGTGACTAGATTAAAGCTACATTGACAAATCTGCAAAACAAGCTAGCCTAAAACATTTTGCATGTGTGGCTGTGGTGTTCTGGACTGGGTTCAAGCTTGCCGACTGCCCCTCGGTAACCCCTTCTTCACTCTGCAGCCGTGACTCTTGAGGCATGATGAGAGCAGAGCTGGTGGGAGGATACGAGGCAGTTGTGGCTAATTATTAAAAATGGCTGTCATTATGGAATTATATTTGTTCCTTGAGTGGGTGTAGGACTAAATAGAGGTAGGCATTCACCCCAAAAGTCAAGAAGGCATTTCCCATCTCTTGAAACATTTTGATTTTTCTTTTCAAACCAAAAATTTTATCTGTTGGGGTTATTAGGAGCGAACAATTAGTAAGCTTCAACTTACTTTTGGATTCTTCAATAAATTCTGTAAATATGGGAATATTTACTGATTTATTAATTAATTAAGATATTCTTAGATATACGGGGCACCATTCCCCTTTTACCGGGGAAAAATTGAATCCAAAACTCTTATCAGTCTTTCTTGAAGTTCGTAGAATCCTTGGAGCAGAGACTTCTCTTCGACACAACAAAGCTACTGGAGACGAAAATCTGAATTTTATAACGTTTAATTAACAATTTGTCAAATGAATAAACAGTGGCATAAATGAATAATAACCATGTGATATAATAAAAGGATGTATATTCAAAATAATGTTCAAGGTGTTTTGTGTGTATGTATGTGTGTGTGTGTTTCTAAAATGGAGTCTGTATGCAAGATGGCTGACCCCTCTGTCTGCCTAAAGTGTGAGTGGCAACTTGCACTTTAACTTCCAAAGCACTTAGAATCAGTAGTAACTTAACCTTAAATCACTCAAAACATTTCAAAGGATCATGAAACAACACAAAAGATTAATCACAAGTTAATATCCTTAGTTTATCAGCCTGGCCATGGCCGAAACATTTAAAGATACCAAACAATGATTAATAAGCAGTTTATTCTTTCAAAATGACCCGAAGGACGAATTGGGAGCGAAAGAGGAAAACACGAAGCTACTTTTTAAGCAATAGCGCGGTTTTATTGCTTATTCTGGACTATAGAGGAAACGGGAGAAGAAAAGGAGAGAGAGAAATGAGTTTTCTGATCACCAGATGAGCGAGGCGTCCCCCGCTGTTATGACTTGACGGTTCTCCGTTTTTCTCCGCAGTTTTCAGCGTCATCCGTCGGTTTGATGCTTTCTCCATTGTTTGGCTCCACGAGTGTTTCTCCAACGGGCTGGACACAAAGAGAACGAAGTTTCTTTTGTGCTGAGTTTGACAACTTACAGCGTCTCTGAGAGCTGAATGGAGCTCCGCTCGTTCCCAGTCAGGTCCCGATGGAGTTGAGTGGCTTCCAGCGGTTTTGTGGGCTCAACTTGGGCACTTAGAGCTTCCGCGTGCTCAAGTTGTCGGAGCGTTCGACAAGCGTGTCCTTACCGCCAGGTATCCTGGGCAAAAGAACGAGGTTTCTTTGTCTCTGCTGAAGATTTATGGTCTTAGTTCGCGGGAAAAGCTCCACGGCTTCCCGCACATGCGCAGAACGTGTTTCTGGTACTAGGCGGTGACGTCATCACAATGCTTCCGTGTGCAAAGCATCATGGGAAATGAAGTTTCTTGGCGCTGATGTGATTATTTGCTTTTCAGAGCAATTTAAGCACAGTCATTTTGGAGAAAATCACTGCATAGTAATTTCCTCATGAGGTCAGACCCTCAACATTCCCCCTTTTGGTTTCGGGGATCGCGCCCAAAGCTCGATCGTCGGAAGCACAGATGGGTTTGTTCCTCATGAACGTAGGTCGACTTGATTGTCGGAAGCACAGGTGGGTTTGTCCCTTCGGACGTTGGTCTCCTTGGACGCCTTTGTCTTTGGTCTTTGTCTTGGATCCTGGCGCCTTTGGTCTTTGATCCTGGTCAGGCACAAAGAGGATAGGAAACGGGATAGTCCCCAACGCGCATAACGAGAAGAAGCCACTCACGCAGGTGGTACGCAATGAAGATGTCATCCATGCGAGAGGTAGTAGTGTAGAAGCAGGAAGGTCGGTGGGCGGTTAACTCCACGAGGGGACACAAAGGCATCTCACCGCCGGCCATACAGTTCAGTTTATGGAGCACGCGGTGATGTACGAGGTCCATAGTTCGCAAACGCACATTGACCTATGTGGTCCCAAGATATCCCTCTCATGCTTTACTGCCATGAGAAGAAGAAAACAACCGCTATGGCTGATTAGCTTAGACTAGCTGGCGCCATTACGGCACCATGTTTAAAGTTAATCTGTGTTCCATCACCATCATTCACAACAAGAAAGTTGACCAAGGTTGTGTCTCATCCCACATTACCAGATGAGGCTTTGTTTCTTTTCATTGTGTTGCTTGGAAGTCTTTGTTTGAACTGCTTCATTTTAATCTGGTTTGTCAAATGAAAATTTGCAGAGTTGTAATGTTTTCCCTTCTATAGACACCCCCAGGTGTTTCGGTTCGTGTTATCTGATATTACATCGTGTTTGTTTTTTTCCAGAAAAGTTTGCTGACATATTCTTAACACTGAATGTTCACAACAGGGCAGCCAGGTTTCAGTCCAGTTTTCAGTCCAAAAGCCAGTTTGATAGAGCGTTAGCAGAGAGGACTACACAGCTGTCCTAATCCCCTCTGAGAGAACAGGAGCTGTACGATACAAAGGACAGCTTAGTCAATTACCAGAAGATAATCTGAGACAGAAAGACAACTCCTGTCAACAGTTCAGCTCTGAGTCAACGAGGTCAAACCACTCAGGTCTTCTTCTCTTTCACATATCAAAGACTGTCATCCGTAAGTGAAATGAATGAAGCCTAAAATCGTTTTTATATTTCAGTAGGTGCTGTTGCATCATTTAGTGAAATCACCACTAAAGTCTCCCTCATGCCCACTGGGATGGCATAGTGCTTTCCTTGTTTTGGTTACCATTGATCCTGGTTGTCACTGTCCATTGAATACTTGCCAGGAAATGAGCTGTCCTCTTCAAATGAAAGTTGACTTAAATACATGTTTGTTGAGTTGTTCTTGGTGACTGTTGACCTGTGCCATGGAAAGGTGGCCTCTGTCTGCTCCAAACCTCTAATTTGATGTCTCCATAAGTAAAGGTTTTTATGTCCCACCAATGCATGACCACTCTGCATGTTAGTCAGCAGGCTCTGGACTGGAAATGCATTCAAGTCAAGTTCTGGGAGTTGTTCACTGCGAGCAGTACGTTTATGAATCTATGGGTGGTGTTGAAAAGGTGTGAGGTGGGTTGTTATGAAACAATCCCAATTTACCTTTTAGAATCAACCCAATTCAAGGTGGCTACCTCACCCAACTCAAAAATACCTATAGCTGATTATAATGTAACTTTACAGATGCTGATTTTAAATCTGATGTAGTCATCCTCTAAACTTACTGAGTGCTAACATTATTTGACATTACGTGAGACTGATTTAATTCAAGGTTTGACCAAAATAGCCTAAACTGCAACATAAGATGATCTTAATTAACACTGTGGCATGACTAACATCAGGGAATCTGCGTTTAAAGAATGCTAGGCCTTTAATTTAAAGTAATGCGTTTATATATATTATAAATGATTGTATGGTATTTTCAGTGGTTTAGTAATAACACCCTCCCTCCACCACAGGATTAACTTCACATAGTGTGTGCTGATTGGTGTGAAATTGTGTGACAGGAGGTTCCTCTCAGCAACATGATAACATATGGCTCACATTATAGCAGAGGCCTGCAGAGAAGCAGGCTAGAGGACATGTAAATGTTGTGAGACCGGCTCAGTGGCCTAGTGGTATGAGTGTCCACCCTGAGATTGGGTCTTTGTCATCAGTCACTGCTCTCTTTCTGAAAATGGGCTTGGTCTGCACGAGCTTCTTTGGAGTTAGAAATTAAACGTTACAGGTGTTGTGGATATCATAGTGTAGCTTGTGCAGTTTTATCCATTCCTCTCATTAGCAGATGCTAATTTGGCACGCTGAATCGAACTTTTTATTATTTTGTTTTGTTTTTTGACATTATTCTGTTTTTCAGTTGTTTCAGTTTTGTGTGTGTGTGTGCGCGCGTGCGTGCGTGCGTGCGTGCGTGCGTGTGTGCGTGCGTGTGTGTGTGTGTGTGCGTGTGTGTGTGTGTGTGTGTGTGTGTGTGTGTGTGTGTGTGTGTGTGTGTGTTTCCCCAGGCACTGCTGAACGACCCCCTCTACATCGGTCTGAGGCATAAGAGGGTCCGAGGCCCGGCCTATGATGCCCTGCTAGATGAATTTATGAAGGCCATTTCAGACAGGTATGATGATCACTCTGACCTTCGAGTCATCCTCTGCCCACTTCCCCTCTTCTTGTCTGCTCTCATCATTTCAGGCCAGCAATTGCACTGTGCTCCTAAAAGAAAAATGTTAAGCAGTTTAGCATGTTTGGTTCGTGCAACGCTGCCAAATGTTGAGGAATTTTGAGGCCTAGAGTTACAGACATCAAAAAATTGGTTTATTCCTCTTTGAACTCCTTTTACTGTTTGGGTGCTATGAGGTTATTTTAACTTTTCATCCAGGCTGGATGTCAACGTGTCCTCAGTAATGTAACGGAGCTGTTTCTTAAGTATCAGCAGGAGGATTTTTCAGCTAGGAAGTGTGTTTTTTCTGTGTGTGTGTGTGTGTGTGTGTGTGTGTGTGTGTGTGTGTGTGTGTGTGTGTGTGTGCGTGTGCGTGTGCGTGTGCGTGTGCGTGTGCGTGTGCGTGTGTGTGTGTGTGTGTGTGTGTGTGTTTTAGTGGACAAATACAGATAGAAAATGAAATATCTCATTAGTTTATTTGTCTCTCCCACCGTAGAGAATTCCTGTTTTCAGCCCTGAAGACACTTAATCAGGTTAACACCAGTCTGATCTTTGTTTTCTGAGCAGATATTAGTTGAGGCAAATTGCTTCCTGCTGTGATGGTTAGCCGCTGTGCTTACTGCAGTCCTGTTCTTGATTGGGACTTTTGTGTACCATAGCTTAGCATGCATGCCAGCGTGTCTGTGCTCGTGTGCCACGGGGCCATCCCAGCCACATACACAGGCCTGGTTAAGCCTCCTCCTAACCCAAAGAGTCTGGTGTCCAGAGGGAGAAGTCTGGGTCTGGGCCCCCTCCAGCTGGCAACAGGAAGCCATGACTTTAATAATCGGGTAGCTTCACGACTACAGGGAACAGAGATGCTTTTTTCTTTCTCCCCACCGGAGCCGGATTGGCGGAAAATGAATAATTATGGGTTCAGGGATTCAATGAATGATTACAGCTCTGCAGTCTTTAAGTAATATCCATGTTTAGTTTTCTAAGAAACTAAACATGAACTTAAATACTCCACAATGAGTCATCATCAATAAGTCTGAGAGGGTGTTTTGAGTCCATTTTATAAAAATACTTCTTTATTCAAGGGGAGTGATTGCTGATGTGATCTACTTGATTTCTAACCAGGCTTCCACCACAGATCCTGTTCAGAAATGCTACCTCATCCGTGTGTGAGGTAACAGCTTCTTTTTGAACGGCATCACAGGAAGCTGGTTCTTGTCTCCAGCAGCAAGGTCAGGGACTTATCTGAACAGGTCACCAGTCCATCACAAACATGGTATCCAGAACTTACCTGGATACTTTCCACTCCTGGCTGTAAATAGGACCTCTGTTCTAGATATCCAGAAAGATTTGTTGACTAAACGCTGCCACTCCCTCATTTGTCCAAATCCGACTCAGTCATGGTAATGCATTGTTGTCCTCTGAAACTCCTCCTGTGGGACACCTATCGAAACATCATCATATGCTAGTTCCAAGTTCATGAAAACCAATCAGACTGAGTGGGAACACGTCTCTGTGACCTAAAGTATTTTGTAATGATTGTAAACTAGTATGAAATTTAGATTTTACCTTCAGATCTTAGAATATCTTAGCATATTCTTAGAACAAAGGTGAGGTCATTCTGAGTGCAGGTTGGCTTCCCACAGTCTTTGGTTTTGTTCGTGTTGTTCATAAGCAGCAACTCAAGGCAAGTCTTGGAGAGTGGGGTGTCTGTTTGGCGTGAGTTTGCTTCATTTACCGGACGGAGCCGAATCTCCTCAGCGCAACTAAAGAATGAACATATGCTCGATGATTCATACATCTGAACAGGTTGTTTCCAAGATGCTCCCCTCTGGACAGTTTCTGGACATGTCCCACCGGGCAGACCCAGGCCTTTCTGGGAAGAGAAACTATCCTCACCTACCTGAGAACACCTTGGAATCCTTGTCTGGACTTCAGATCAGTGGAAAAAGATGAACGAACGAACAAACGAACGAGCAAGCGAACGAATGAATGAAAGAACTGATCTCATCTGATTCCAGGGATGTCTTCTGAGTACACGCACCAAAGATCACACTCATTCAGCTTCTTGTCATTGAAACACATCTGGCCGTTTGCATGATGTAGACCTGGCCAGCCATGCTGGACTTTCACATATCCAACGGAGAACAGAAGGTCAGCATGGACACTGACTGGTCTGCATCAATCCATTTGCAAGTGTTAATCAGTGTTATTCACTTTGCTGTCCACGGTTTTAGCCTCACAGCTTAGTTTTGTTCATTCAGAAACATCTCACTGAACCGTTCTAATGCGGGCCAAAGGTCTTGAACATTTCCCATGTAATTTTAGTTGGCATGCTGGGCCTACAGGAATGCCACCAAGTATTTTAAAACTCTTGGCACTGGGAGAAAAAGGTCCAAGCAGACAGACCAGTGGACGGGAGGACTGACAGCTCAGGGATTTGAGAAATAATTTGTGCTGAGAGATGCTGCCCCTCTGGAGAGTGAGAATGAACTAGGGATTTATTAAAGCCTCCAGCACAAAGCCCTTAGGGGCGAATAAAACACAACCTGTGTGTGTGTGTGTGTGTGTGTGTGTGTGTGTGTGTGTGTGTGTGTGTGTGTGTGTGTGTGTGTGTGTGTGTGTGTGTGTGTGTGTGTGTGTGTGTGTGTGTGTGTGTGTGTGTGCGTGTGCGTGTGCGTGTGCGTGTGCGCAGATACAACAGCTGGGTTTGTACAGAGCACCCTTGTCTGTGACCTTTGTTTTGGTCTTCCATGGATCTTAGAGGCCATGGATCTCTTCATACCTCCTCATCTGTTTTTAGTCTCCTCCTCGGTACGGGGAGGATGTATGCATCGTCTTACTTCACTTTAGCTGGAGATTTCTGGTGTAATGAAGCTAGCATGTGTTTCTTAAAGGAGCTGGGTCTTACGTTTTCAGTGCTATAGACAAAACAAACACATGGAAATGAATAGAATGTTTTCTTCATTCAGTCTTCGTAAATCATCGAGTAACTCTTAATCAATTTTGCTGATTTAACCCAAGAAACTCAATAGGAGTGTCTTTGAGCTTGAAAAAGTCTGTAAAGAAGACCTGGTTTCTTTTCTTTGCCTCTGCTAAGAGTATCACTGGGATAAAACGTTAATCATCACGGTAAAATAAAACTGAAGCAAAGAGCAGCTTTGTGTTTGTCACAGATTGTCTCAGATTGCTTTGACAGGCCCATAGCAGGAAGCAGCCTGCTGGCTTTTCTCCTGTCTATCTGGTTTGTATTTTATTCTTTCATATGATAATTAGTATTGTGTCAGATAATTAAACAATAATAATATCATTACTGTTATTATTAAATATAATAAAACAAGTATTTAGAGTGCTTTGTCAGAGTCTTAAAAGCCCAGTTTTACCCACATTCATTTGGTCCACTTTTAAGGGGCCAGTGTCATTTCTGCGGTTTGAGTAACTGGTTATTTTTTCAGATACATTTCTGAGGCTGCAGTTTCCTCTGTTCATGTTACTGGTTTCAAGTGTTTGATCCCAGTTTGGGTCAAAATGTGACTACAATAGATTTTAAAATGTTGATAGCTCAATAAAAATAATTATTGCATAAAATGATCTTGTATTAACACAGAATACTCAGTTACTCAGTTGGTATGATAACAGAGGACATGTGGGGAAAATGGCAAGTGCCAACATCATTTCAAGTCTTTTTAAAGAATGCTGTCAGAACAAAAAGTCATATTGAGCTCCATCTTTGAATTATAACTCACTGATTTGCAAATACTTTGGCCTCTGGTTTCGAAAACAAGAGCAAATCAGAACAGAGACAGGCTCAGAAGGTTTTTATTGGCATGCCATTCATTCAGCAACAACATGGAGTCAATTAAGTTAAAGGGACAGGCTGTAAAGCTACGTTACGTTGTTGTTGAATAAAGGCAGCTCCATTCATACATTTTCTTCCACTTATCCAGGGTCGGGTCACAGAAGCAGTAGCCAAAGCAGAGAGGCCCAGATTTCCCTCTTCCCAGCCACTTGGGGCCAGCTCCTCCGGGGAAATCCCAAGTCGTTCCCTGGCCAGCTGAGAGACATAGTCCCTCCAGCATGTCCTTGGTATTCCTTTGGGCCACCCCCCAGTTGGACGTGCCCAGAGAGGCATCCTAACCAGATGCCTGAGCCATCTCAACTGGCTCCTCTTGATGTGGAGGAGTAGCAGGTCTACTCCGAGACCCTCCCAGATGCCTGAGCTTCTCACCCTATTTCTAATGGAGAGTCCAGCCACCCTGTGGAGAAAACTCATTTAGGCCGCTTGTATCCATAATCTCTTTCTGTTGGTCATTACCCATAGCTCCTGACCATAGATCGTAGGTCGTAGATCAACCGGTAAATTGAGAGCTTTGACTTCTGGCTCAGCTCTTTCTTCACCATGACAGATACTAAAACTCCTCATTTGAGGCGAAACCTCATCCCTGATCTGGAGATGGCACTCTACCTTTTTCTGATTCAAGACAATGGTCTCTCATTTAGAGGAGCTGAATCTCATCCCAGCCGCTCCACACTCAGCTGAGAACCGCTCTAGTGAAAGCTGGAGATCACGTTCTGATGCAGCCAATAGCACCATGTCATCTGCAAAAGGCAGAATGGTGATCCTTAGGCCACCAAAATAGATCCCCTCAACACCTTGGCTGCACCAAGAAATCCTGTCCATAAAAGTTATAACAGAATCTGTGACAAAGGGCAGCCTTGGTGGAGTCCAACTCTCACTGCAAAACGAGCCCGACTTACTGTCGACAATGCGGACCAAGCTCTGACACCGGTCATACAGGGATCTAACAGCCCGTATCAATAATAACGGCAGCTCAGAGGGTCAAATGTGAAAAGTCAGAGCCAAGTCTGAGCTGTTTTCTATCTATAATTAATAATGTTGAAAGGTAAGGAAGAGATGGTTGCTTCTGAGAAAAGTTGGCTTTAACGTGTAAAAGGCAAGCCAC